GGCGGGGGCCCGGCCGCCGAGGGATCGCCCCTCGTGGGCTCGGCGGGAAGGAGGCAGCCGCCCCACCCCGCCCCCCTCCCCGCAGCCGCCCTTGCTGAGGCGCTCGGAGAGGGAAGGAGACCCCTTGCACCCGCCCGCCTCCATAAAGGCCGGCTTGAAACGTGCGCCTTTGTGTCTGAAGGCAATAAACGGGAGCGGCCGCCGCCCGGGGGACAGGAGCCCCCCAACCCCTGCCACCAAATATGCCCTGGATTGGCTAGTCTCCAGTCGCTGAGGGAAGGAGCTGGGATGGAGGAAATGGACCTGTTCTCATTCCCTGGGGGGTGGGGAGGGGCTCCGTATATCTAAAGCAATCCACACTCTTATCTGTACTCCCTCCTTCCCCTTAGAGCAGCTGCTCCCATACGGGATAAAGACTTCCTTTGACTGGGCCAAAGGACTTTTTCCCCCAACTCTTCGGGCTCTTCCTGTGCCCTGAGTCTGCAGCACAAGCGATTCTTCCAGACAGGGATCTGATGAAAATCCCTGTGTGACAAGACAGTGTTAGAGTAAGCGTGAACCCAGCCCAGCCCATCTGTAAGATCCTTCTGAAGAGGAAGGATAACTTTAGCAGAGGCCCAAGCCCATCTCAAAAAAGCAAGCGAAACACTATCAGTGTCTGCAAAGGGAGGGGAGGAAGGAGAAATGCATGCAAGAGGCTGACCTACTACTGTATATATCCCCCTTCATTCGCCTGCTAACCAACCGGGGGGGGGGGCGGATTCTGACACAGACACAGTTCAGTACCCTTGATTTACCTTACTTGGGTGAATAGCCCCAGGACGTTCAAGCACAGGTTTGGGGTGGGTTTTACACCAGACTTTGAGCAAGGTCCATACTCAGACAGCGCGTGCCCTGGCCATCTGCAAATCCTGTAGAGCTTCAAATCACAAAGCAGCTCTAAAAGTCCTAGGCACAAACTAGGATATATTAACTTGGATGTTTGGGGGGGAGGAGGGGGGTTGGTTGTAGCCGTGTTGAGTGGTTAGTCTAATAAAAGATATCACATTTACCCAAATAATCTTGTTTGCCTTAGCCTGGATGTGAAAGACACT